GAGAGAGAAAGAGAGTGTGTGTGTGTGTGTGTGTGTGTGTGTGTGAGAGAGAGAGAGATATCCAGAAGCAGCGCATGGTCATGTGCGTTGGTTAGCCTTCATGCTAGCCGACTCCCACATCTCCCTCGTTTATTTATTCACATTTCCCGTTTGGTATTTAATCAAACATCACTCTTACTAAGTATGTGTTGCTTTTCAGTGGCTGCACGGCCATTCTGAACGAAATCGGACCGTTTTGAGTTTGATGTTTACTGTTAGCTGCGGGGCTAATGATGGACGCGCATACAATAATTAGTGCCGATTTGATATAAATGCACAAATCTAACACGAGGCCATTTAAACGGGCTTTTATAAAAATGTCCAGGACTGACTTGTTGTTATGTTTCAGGTGTGAGTTAGTCGTTGAGGCTGGTGTTCAGCATGAAATCTGCGTGTGAGATGCGTGTTATTTAACGCTATTGGCTCATCGGCTTTATCTGCGACATTTTATGTTGAGCTGTGAAGAGCAATATTTGTGATGTCCGCCGCAGCAGTGTTCACTCACTGGCTGCGTCTCAAAGCCTCGCACACCGGCGACCTGCACTGCGTTCCGAACGTTCGGTTTGTGCTCAAAGATGCCGACAATCCAATTAGAACATTATGTACGCGTTAACAACGCTGATAGATGCTGTATAGTTTAGGCAGAACGCAGCCTCTTCCTTCAGCACTCTGGTTCATAAACGAGTTGGAATCTGCAGAGTTTTAGTGCAGGAAGATGAGAAGGATCTGCCTGTTGTTTTAAAAAAAGTAATTGTGGTATTGAAATATGAGTCAGGTTATTTGGAAGGATTTATGTGAACGTTTCCATGACTCTGTTGGTTTAACCTTTTATTTTACACAATTTTTAGGCCACAAAAATGGGTTGTCCACTGATTTTTATTTATTTTTTATTTTTTTGGAAAGATGTGTTTTTAATGGTCTGACAGCTGAGTGACAGACACCAAGGTAAACGAAAGTACAACCTTAGTTGCTCAAACAGTAAAAGCATGGCCAGAAACTCCAAGGTCATGGGTTTGACTGAACTGATGCAAGTCGTTTCTGATGAAAGTGCCAAAAGTGCCAAAAGTAACATTCTATTCCTCGCAGCCTCATTTTCATCCATGTCAAAATTACATGTACTGTTTATCGTGAGTAGTATCTGTAATGACAAGTAGGGATGGGCGTATCGATACTAAGGTGTGTTTTATTTACCAGTGATTTTGTTTATTTAAAATAATAATATTAATGCGTACAATATGCATTGAATTTTACAAATAACCTTTGTTAGCGAGTAATTGTGTAGGATAGAACTATTTTCCTGCTCATCTGAACACACGCAAATGTAGCAAGACAGAACCAATCCATTAAAGAGAGCATTCACTCACTTCTGACAGTGCATTCAAACAGGGCTGCGTTTCCCAAAAGTATCATAAGAAAGCAGCCCTGAACAATGCTTATCAGAGGACAGAAAAAAAATCATGTTTCGAGTTATTTCACAATAAACAAATTGAAATCGTAGCCTACGTAGTTTGTACACTTACATTTATTTAAATTGAACGTTGAAAGATAATATAGATCATGTTTTATTCTGTAATGTTAATAGAAATCATACACTGTCAGAACAAAAAGGTTGCATTTTATGAATGCAACAGCCTGTCACTGGCAGTCCCTAATGATAATGAACCATAGTTTTACTAAAGTGACCGTAGTTCAACTGTAGTATTTGTAGATTTGAATCATGTGTAAACAAAAAACACATTTGAACCATGTGTAAACAAAAATATAACCTAATAAATTACAATTAAGGCGTACTGAATGTTAAAATGCATTTTAAACAAAGTTAAGTGGTTATCATTACCCATTTTACTCTTAGTAATTTAATAAATTTCATAATTTAAAAGTTTAGTTCAGAAGCATCATATCGGTATCAATATCGACGCTACTGCCTTGAAAAATATCGGTATCGTATCGAAAACAAAATAAGTGGTATCGCCCATCCCTAATGACAAGTGTTAAAGCAGGTTTCTTAAATATATCCCACACCCTGTCATTCATTGGTTGGATAAATGGAAAGTCCCGCCCTAAACTTACTCGATTAATTGAGCCAGTATTGCTGTCATATTGTTAGTTAGTTTTTTTTTTTTTTTTTTATCACAGAATGTCAGAAATTACTACAGGTGGCGAGGAACGAACTTCGCGACTGAGAGGGGGAAAAAAGTGTTTATGTAGTGTGAATGTAATCCAGGAGTACTACATTTGCCATGTTGGCTTTGTCACGTGGCCTATGGCATCCGGTTATATTGCTTCACTGCTGTTCACAAATCCTGTCCCATGGCCTTTGTGGGATAGTAAAGTGTGCTTTGGATGCATACTTCAGAATCTCGCCCGAAGTAGTAGTTCACCTGGGCACTTTTCTCCTAGTTTTTTTTAATACTATGAATTTGGACAAATGGTGTGTCCCAGTTTTTGTCCTTATGCACTATTCAATGCCATTTTGTCGTATAAATCGTGTTGTTAATGTGTTCCAAGTCCAATAATAAGAAGTGCACTTCAAATGCCTGGGTGATGCACTTAATTAATTGAAAAAACAAAACAAAATGTGGAATGGACACTTCATGCATTTAGACCCTGATGCTTGATAAGATACGCTTCTAAACTTTGTATTGTGCATAGTGTATAGTGCATAATTTAGGAAACAACAATACTGAATTTGTGTACTGTTTAGTAGGCATATTCAGATCCAGACTTTTTAGGGAAATCAAGTGACAATTGGCATATTTACAGTTGTCTGTGCATAAGAGAAAATATCTTAATACTAAAAATATGCCTCATATCATCTTTCAGTTTTGCATTTTTTTTCTTCTTCTGCCAGATGGAAGCAAATAACCATTTTAACTATGGGCCTCACTCTTCTGTGTCAGCAAACTCAGGACTGAAGCATTCCTCAGGAGATTCTCTCTATACTAACGGGTCCTCCATGAGCTTCCCCCAGCAAGGGAAAAGTGAGTCTCTCTTGTATTTGCGTTTCATTTTTTATCCATATATGTAGTCTATAAATCCATAAACATGGTGGCTTTTAAGGCTTTTATGCGCCGTTTTGTGACTGATGCTGTTGGTCACACAGATCTGAATGGCCAAATGAATGTGAATGGCATCACTACTGCAGGTGGGAGCAGCCAGCCAGGCGCCCACCCTCCCTCTTCCTCTTATCCTCATATGAGCAACCATCACCTCCCAGGCAGCATGGGATATGACTATCTTTGGGGCCAGTCTCAGTACAGCCCGGCGATGGGGCCCGTCCCTCCCCACGGGTTGCACCAGAAGCCAGGCTCCCAGGGTGGAATACAACCACAGCAGCCTCAGCACCACTTCCAGAGCCATGGACCATACCAAGTCAATGGCAGTACGGGAACATCCCAGCAACCTCCGGGTGCTGGGTTGCAGTATTGGGGAAGGGGAAATCCTGGGCAGCAGTCGCAGGGGGGATCTTCGATGCCAATGGGATATAATTCTCCCAGTATGTACGGGACGTATCCCAACCAGGGCATCCCAGCGTCCCAGCATCACCAGCAGCCTCCAGCCTTGCAGCACCAGTCTGCAACGGCACATCATCTCCAACACCATTCACACCACCAGCAGCAACAGCAGCAGCATTATGGTGTGATGCCTAATGGAATGCCGTTTTACCAGCATCCATCGCACCAGGCCCAAACTCAGTCTCAACCACAGACTCAGATGATACCACCCGCCGCGCAGAGCTTTACACCTCCACGAGGAAGCCCTCAGCACCATCACATGGGCAGTGGAGGAGGAAGAAGCAGCCCCCATCACGTCCAGGTCCCAATGAGGTCCCCTTCTACTGTGCCTGATAGCGGTTCGCCTAAGAGCAGAGAGATGCAAGGTGAGCAACTGCCACAAACAGGCCTCAGTGTGCTGGAAACTGGGCAGTTATAGTTTAGATTTTTTATATATTTATAAAATATATATTTATTTATTTATTACATTTTATTTAGTATTGAAGGGCTGCCAAAGTTAAAGTACTAAATATTTAATTAGTATTTAGTATTAGTATTCGGCACAGTCTAGTGTTATTGCTATTGAGTAGCATTTTCAAGTCTAATAGAGGTGGGCTGTAAAGTTGTATTAAAACAAATTAATCTTACTTTATTTTAGTTAGTTTTAGAATCTAGAAAATGTGTTAGTTTAAATTTTTCCCATTTAAAAAATAAAAATGGTGGATTTATCATTCACTTATTTTTAAATTTTGTTAATTAATAAAAAAAATACATTGTGTAGATTTATCCTTTTTTTTCATTAACTCTAAAACAGTGGTTATCAATTGTGGCACTCCTGCCCAATTCTCACTTTTTTCCTCTTAAATTAAGCCTTAGTAAAGCTCTATGCATAGTACATTGCCTTAAATTAATAAAAAAAATTGGTACATTTCACATGTGACCAACATGTGTCACGTTTGTTTTATGAGGTCTACAGCATTTCAAAACAAGATTGTTTCACTTGTTTGCAATTGGATTGATAGCTTTGTGGAACAATATACAATCTTTGGCATTCATATTGTAAGTAATATGATTACAAAAATGGCAGCGTGTTTTATCATGCATGTTCTGATTTCCTGTACTTAGGTGGTGCCGTTCACTTCCTGAATGGCTTTTAATATCACCAACACTAGCATTCTGCCCTCTGACAAAAGTAATTTTAGGCCAGTCAGACGTGTTTTCACCAAAGGAAGTTGACTTTTTGGATTAAGAAGTGATTCAAACTGACGGATAGTCCGTAAACAGGTGATATCTTGCCCCTGTTCTCTTTTCCACCCACATTCTGCCTCAATCATCAGACAGTGGAAAACTGCACGCAGCCTAGACACAGTTAAACAATCAACAATACTGCGCTTTCCATTGAAGATCAAGATGCATTGTCTGTGTGTTCATTTTTTTACTCTGCTTTGAACTTATTCACACTGTATTCAAATTGCTCAGAGGAGCATGAGGCAACAACTATCAGAGGCTTTACTGTAATTTCCACTTTGATGCGTATGCTGATTTTGGACCTTTTCTCTCGTTCACTCATTCATTATATACAGCAAATGCTTTATGTTTCATTACATGGGAAAATAGGGAGTGAAAATAGGGAGTGAAAACAGTGCACGTGCTATTGCACAACTGTGTATAACGCAAGTCGGGTTTGAGTTCTAGTTGCCTGCACATTAACAGTATAGTGGACTACTTTTCAGGCCACATCCACAACCTAAAAATAAAAGTTTAGTTGCATTTCAAACCACAAACAAATGAATGTGTTTTTTGCTACCTATCTGAACAGTTTTGTGTTCTCACTAACAACTGTTGTATATGTGTTTTGTGGTCTGTAGTTTCTATGAATGAGTCCTTTAAAGAAATGGATAAAGGCTTCAATGGAGTTGAGAAAAGCTCTGTACCCCAACGGTTGCCCAAAACTGAGAGTTTTCCTGTAAAGCCCCCTGGCTCTGTTTCCTCTACCGACTATAACCAGGCTGCGCAGCATCCAGCCGTGGACCTGGAGAAACCTGTAAAACAACGTCAGGAGATGGGAGCTGCTGCAAAGGAGCTTAGTTCTTCCCCCGTCTCTGGACCTCCTCCACCCCTAGCTAGTCCGCCTCGGAAAACTTTGACCCTGCAGGATTCACATTCTCCTTCGTCTCCAGGGTTTGCTTTATCTACAGCTTTGGGTGTCGGCGCAAATGCATCTGTGTCTCCACCCTCTCCTCTCACACCACCGCTTCAGATGGTCCAAGGCCAAAGACCTGGATTCTCTGGACCTTCATCAGCTGAAGGAACACCTGCAGGACTTGGTACAGCTCCTTCAATGTCTTCTCCTAAGAGCTCCAGAGCTCCTACTGCTGGTTCCCACAACCAGTCTCTGGTGCTTTCTTTTAAGACCTTGATGCATCCTCCAACGGTGCCTGTGCCTCCTCAAACAGTACCGGAGGCCCAGGGATCAAAAAGTCCACAGGTCTCTCCAACACCTTTATCTTTGGCTGCGTCACCATCTGTTGTCTCCGCTCCTCCTGCGCTGGCACCACTTAAAGGACCCCAAGAGGCATCACCTCTAACAGGCCAGAGTCCTAAACATCCTGCTGCTTCCTCGACTCCAACATCTGTTGCCGATAAGGTCTTTCTCTCGACAGTCTCTGCACTTCCATCAGTGGTCGCTGGTTCTCCTCAAGTTGCCGCTCTGGCTTCGTCTGCACCACCTCCCGCTGTTAGCTATTCCCCTCGGGCATCTTCAGCACCTCTCAGTGTTTCTCCAAATGTATCTCGCTTCCTCATTGGCTCTGTTACTCAGCCTTTAGAGACCGTGGTAAATGCGGACGTTTCTTCACCCAGTCCAGGGCAGATGGGTTCTCATGGTGTAGTACGGCACAACTTTGGGGAATCGCACTCTAGACCTGAGGCCTGTGGTTCCCAGAGTAAAGTTAGAATCATAATGGGCACATCCAAAAAGGAGTCCAACAATGAGACTCAAGCTGAGATGCATAAGGTGCAAATTCATGGTAGAAACCTTGAACTGGCTTTCATTGTTCCAAAGGAACCTGAAAGAGACACTATGGCAGTTGGCAGAAAGGACTCTAATAGTATCAGAGATCAGACTGCCCCAGGGAAAGGAGAAAGTGAGACTTTAAATGATACTTTTGGCACTGACACGTCACTGGACTATCCGTCTTTGGCCGAGTCAACCTACCTTGAAAGCTCAAGAGCTGAGGATGGGAGTTCAATGATGGACACTTTTGATAATTCTTATAGTCTTTCCCAGACTGGAGACCAATCAAAGTTTACAGAAGGATCCATGATTGATGTCTCCAGGGACTTGCAGGACACTTCTTGTGAAGAAGAAAACTTGAACAGCTCCATGACCTCTACCAGTTCCACCGAGGCGGCGTCCCTCAAAGATAACACGTCACTACTGGATGACTCTTTAAACGACACCTCACTAAACAGCTCCTCACTGCTGTCTGCATCTATTAATGCCTCTACACACTCTATCAGAGGTGAGATTTCCAGTGCACTAATAATGGATTAATAAACAAATGAATCATTGTTCATTTGCTGAAGGTTACAGTTAACAATGTTGTTAAATTATTAGTGATTTTATTTATCACACTTGGTACCTTCACGGTCAAAAGTGACACAAGCCTTGAAATGTTTTCATTTTTTTTCCAGGAAAATCAAATTTATATGTTTTTGTTCAAAAATATATATATTTTTTAAATTTTTTATTTTGAGAGTTTTATGGTGCTACTTAATATTTATGCAATAATTATGATCCATTTTTTATAATTGAAAATAATAATTTAAAAAAATCCAAATTTAAAAAAAAGTATTTCTATTAATGTAGTATTCCATGGTAAAATAGAGACTAGCTGTGCACTAGCTCTGCAAATTTTTTTTTTTGTATTTTCACATTTTTTCCTATTTCCCATTCATTTCCTGTGGCGCAAAGACCAAGTGAACACCATTTGTGACCACAAAGACCAAACGTGATACTTTTTTTTAATTACAATTTTTTTTTTTTAAATCATGCTCTCAATTTTATTGTGTGTGTTCACAAGCCAAATGCCACAAGTCACCAAGTTTCATAGCGTTTCGATGAAGCTATGACTTTTAAAATGTCAAAATGTAAAATGTTTTGGTCAAAAGTGACCGAAGAGGCCCAGAGAAAGCCTTTGATGACAGTAAAGGTAGTGGGCATGTACCAAATGCATATCCAATATCGACCGATAAATCTGATTAAATTACTGATTAGCCGATAACCAGTACGGTCTCAATATATTGTACATCCAAATTTTTTTCTGTAAAATGTGTAGTTTTAACACTTTTTTTTCATGTGTAATTGAATACTAAAAACGACACCTCACTAAACAGCTCCTCACTGCTGTCTGCATCTATTAATGCCTCTACACACTCTATCAGAGGTGAGATTTCCAGTGCACTAATAATGGATTAATAAACAAATGAATCATTGTTCATTTGCTGAAGGTTACAGTTAACAATGTTGTTAAATTATTAGTGATTTTATTTATCACACTTGGTACCTTCACGGTCAAAAGTGACACAAGCCTTGAAATGTTTTCATTTTTTTTCCAGGAAAATCAAATTTATATGTTTTTGTTCAAAAATATATATATTTTTTAAATTTTTTATTTTGAGAGTTTTATGGTGCTACTTAATATTTATGCAATAATTATGATCCATTTTTTATAATTGAAAATAATAATTAAAAAAAATCCAAATTTAAAAAAAAGTATTTCTATTAATGTAGTATTCCATGGTAAAATAGAGACTAGCTGTGCACTAGCTCTGCAAAATTTTTTTTTGTATTTTCACATTTTTTCCTATTTCCCATTCATTTCCTGTGGCGCAAAGACCAAGTGAACACCATTTGTGACCACAAAGACCAAACGTGATACTTTTTTTTAATTACAATTTTTTTTTTTTTTAAATCATGCTCTCAATTTTATTGTGTGTGTTCACAAGCCAAATGCCACAAGTCACCAAGTTTCATAGCGTTTCGATGAAGCTATGACTTTTAAAATGTCAAAATGTAAAATGTTTTGGTCAAAAGTGACCGAAGAGGCCCAGAGAGAGCCTTTGATGACAGTAAAGGTAGTGGGCATGTACCAAATGCATATCCAATATCGACCGATAAATCTGATTAAATTACTGATTAGCCGATAACCAGTACGGTCTCAATATATTGTACATCCAAATTTTTTTCTGTAAAATGTGTAGTTTTAACACTTTTTTTTCATGTGTAATTGAATACTAAACATTCAATCGTGATTTGAATGCTTGGCAGATCCGTTGTGGACATCTTTTGATGTCAGTTGTTTAAACACAACACACTGTATTCCCCATAGGTGATCATATTCTTGGCAAAGAGAATGGACCTGATACTTCAGGAGGTGACAGAAGATCTGCGCTCTCTGTAATGACGGTTAAAGCGCTGCAAGCGGTTGTCAGCGGTTCTGTTGAAGGGGCGACCACACATATTTCTGAAGCCCACATCGCCATGCCAACAAAAAAGCCACGGAAGCCTAGAACCCCAAAGACGACAGTTGCTACCGCTGAGAGTAAATGCACAATCATGCTTACTTAGCTAATGGTTTACAGGTGTTTTAAAATGATAGTCAATAAATCAATTGAACAACATTAAGTTAGATGCTAAATGCTGTCTCTATTTACTTAATTATTTCCAGTTGGCTCTCCTGATTCCAAGATCAAGAAACAAAAGTTAACACCTGATGGCCCAAAACAAGAAAAGGTTAGGAGGAGAAAGAAAACCGAGGATAATTCACTGAGGGCAGTGAAGAAGAGGAAAATCTCTAAAGAGGCAAAGGAACAGGAGGGCGTCCCAACTGATACCTCAACTCCTTCAAATGCTCTGCCTCTCCTTCCAAGTGATCCAATGACGTTTGTCCATGACTCAAGCCTGACTAATAGTGAGCCCATAGTCCAGCCCAAGAAGATCTGGAAGCGCAAGATGAAAGGTGTGAATGAGGCAAAGCCTCCCAAACCAGCCAAAGGGTTGTCAGAAGGGAAAACTGAAGATGATGATGATAACAGCTCCACAGCAGGTATCTACATGCTTGAAATTTGTTGTTTGTTTTAAGTAGTGTTCAACCTCTTTATATGCATTCTTCTGGCACTTAAGATTAAAATAGATTAAATTGTTGTTTGTGTGTCTCAGGTGATACCCCAAGGCGTCGGATTGCAACTGAAGCGCAAGTCCAATTTCCTTTGCAGCATGGGTGAGCAGTCCTTTATCTAAAGTATCGATAGCCAGGTCTTGATGCTTACTTTTTCCAAAGGTGTCCACGTGCTCCTAATTTGAAAAAAGAATTTTAGGGGTGCAATGAAAGTTGATCAAATAAATAATTAGTTCTTCCTTAATAAAGTAAGTACATTTACAAGAAAAAGTATTTAATTTATTTGAATACAAAAAGTACACTCGTTTTTTAAGTATTTAAAAAACTTAATATTTATGCAAGGACCCGCAGCTTCAAGGACCCGCAGTGACCTAATCCTAATTACATTTTACAGTTTGCACACATCCAGTGAAGTGCTTGCGCTATCTAGCCCTGATAACACATTAAAATGTAGTTTTTAAAATTACTGGTAACATTTGTTTCAAAACCAAGCATCTATGGTAGCAAGCATACAAATAGAAATACGCTCTTCTCAAAATAATAATAAAAAAGGCAGCACTTTAGATTAGGGAACATCTATTCACTATTAAAGGGTTAGTTCACCCAAAAATGAAAGTTCAGTCATTAATTACTCATCCTCGTGTCGTTCCAAACCCGTAAGACCTTCGTTCATCTTCGGAACACAAATTAAGATATTTTTGATGGAATCTGACAGCTCTCTGACCCTGCATAGACAGCTATGCAATTACCACGATCAACGTCCAGAAACATAGCAAGGAGATCGGTAAAATAATCCATGTGACATCAGGGGACATCAGCGTATGCTGTTCTGTGTCAGCCGCACCACACTGATACGTTATCGTTCAAATGAAAGCACAAACAACGTAGAAAACGTATCCGTGTGACGCAGCTGACACAGAACAGCATACGCTGTTTACGTCCAGCGGATATTCTCCAAAATGGTGCTACGGTGACACGGAGGAGACGAATTGTTGAATAAAGTCGTTTTTTTTTTCTTTCTTTTGCGCACAAAAAGAATTCTCATAGCTTCGTACTATTACGGTTGAACCCCTGATGTCACATGGATTATTTTACCGATCTCCTTGCTACGTTTCTGGACGTTGATCTTGGTAGTACCCTTGCTGTCTATGGGAGGGTCAGAGAGCTGTCAGATTCCATCAAAAATATCTTAATTTGTGTTTCGAAGATGAATGGAGGGCTTACGAGTTTGGAACGACATGAGGGTGAGTAATTAATGACTGAACTTTCATTTTTGGGTGAACTATCCCTATAAGGGATCTAGAACATGGTCATGCAGAATAAGACATTAATGTGTGCTTTATGGTTACTAATAAGCAGACAATATACTTGTAATATGCATGCTAATAAGCAAGTGAGTGGCGTTCCCTAATCTATAGTGTTACCTTACTTATCCAGCAGTTTCAAACAGCTTGAAATGTCTTGGAAATTCTCTGGTATGGCAATCCTGTTTCACATGCTGTGTTTCACATTTGCTAGCTGGAGGCGAGAGATTCGAGTCCGGAGGCTCGAGGACCGCCTGAAAGGAGAGACGTGGTACTATAGCCCCTGCGGCCGGAGGATGAAGCAGTTCCCCGAGGTCATCAAGGTGAGAGCTGTCATACCTGCACCACAATACCACTGAAACCTAATCTGTGTGAGTGATAAACAGGCTTCCGTCTTCATCCGGTTGCTTTTGTCTCTCCTACATCCTCCAGTATCTGAACAGGCATCGGGATGCTCTCCAGGGCGTTTCGAGAGAGCACTTCAGCTTCAGTCCACGCATGCCAGTGGGGGATTTCTATGAGGAGCGGGAAAGCGCTGAGGTGTGTATGAAGATGTCTACAGGTGCTACAGGCGAACATGTGGTTTTCAGCAGCAACATCCCTCACAGTTATGCTGTTCCAAGACATGTTATCGCTCTTTAACTTGTTACAGGGTATGCAATGGTTCCTCCTCGCCAATGAGGAAGTGCCCTCCATGATCATGGCAATAACAGGCAGACGCGGTCGTCCACCAAATCCAGACAAAGAGCCTCGTTCCCGTGGCTGCCTAGCCAGAGGAGCCCCAGGGAGACGGCCAGGCCGACCTCCTAAGCCCAAGATGGAGGATCTGCTCAGCAAAGTGGACGCCAGGCTGCTGAAGAGACTGGAGGCAAAGGGTGAGTCTGAATATTAATATCGTGTCTCTACTGGAGAAACTGTCAGCATGTAAGAATGAGCAGGTGAGGTGTAGGGCAAGGTGCAAACTGTCCCTGTCGATCCCTGGAGCAAAACACTTGGCCTCAGATTGCTTCGGTGGATTGTATGTTTAATAAAAATATACTTGTTGCAGAAGTACCACCTTTTCATCTTCATTTTGTAGTTGTAGCTTTTTTGTGAAATATAATGAGCAACTTTACTTAGTTCATGTTGATTGTTTAACAGAGGACCTCACAGAGCAAGAAAAAGAAAAACTGATCAAGATCAAGAAGAAAATGAAGAGAAAGGTGAGCTGACTTTATATTATCGTTATTTTCTATAACAAGTCTATTTTGGGGACCAACTGATCATCTGATTTTTCTCATGCAGGCAAGAATGAAAAGAATGGAGGATGCAAAGAATAAAAAGATCCGGAAGGAGAAACGGAAAGCCAAAGTAGGAAATATTCTTCAAATATGTACAGAACTTAAAAACCTGGAAAACGCATTTTGTGTAGCGGATATGCATTTTGACCTCAAAGTACGCTGGTACGATTTGTCACTCTAAACTACTCAAAAAATGCAAAAAATGGCTTATCTTACTTAGTATTTTTGTCTTGTTTCTAGTCAAAATATCTAACCCCCCCCCCGGAAACAAGACTAAATATCTTAAGTCACTTGGCTTATCTAGTAAAAATTTTGTAGATATTTTGACTAGAAACAAGACAAAAATACTAAGTAAGATAAGCCGTTTTTTGCAGTGTGACGCCTCTGTCCACGTGTAGTATTCAAAACAAGCAACAGAAAAAGATGAAGAGTTCAACCAATCAGAGCGGTTTTTAGGGTGTGCTTTAAAATTTTTGTGCGTTTTATTTCTCTCCAAGCTGGCTCTGTTTGTGTGTCCATGAGTCTGCGTGCTGAGATGAGAAAACGCCTGCATCTGAAAAAGCAACACACGCCGAGCATCTTCCCTTGTACCAACTAAACCTTTTGTCCAACAACAAAAAAGAACATTACAACATACTTTTACTGCACAACATCAGACAAATATTTAAAATAGTTTCCCTCTTGATCTGTGGCTTCTTATCACAGAATGACGCAGCAATAAATTCTACACTGGAATAACGGCTAAGTCGATTAGCAGTGGATTATAAATACCATTACGTTGTAAAATCTATATATAAATAACGTTACTTAATTATTAAAATACTCGAGGTGGTTTTAAGAACACTGATAAACATCGTCGCAGTACAGTATTTATTATCTTAATGTTTTTTTTGCTATTCTATTTCTATTTTTTTTTATCTAGTTCTATTTCTTCTATAATGTATATGTGGATTTTCTGCGAGAGGGTGCCCTCAAGCGTCCAGTGTGAATGAAACACACATTACATGTTCATAGCACTAAATAATGGCCAATCCATAAAAATAATACTTTGCATTTAATAGCATTTAAAAATAGCAAAAAAGAACTAAACCAAAAAAAAACTGAGGTATTTAACTGTGGGCTAACTGTATTGTTGCATCCCTACTTTTTACTCTAAAATACTGTATAACAGGAATATCACAAACTGAGTGCAGACCCTGATTATTAACCTATAAAAAATATTTAACATTAAATCTTGCAAACCACCCCCCACCCCCCGCAACACAGATGGTACTCCAAAATTTTTTCCGAGGTTGGCAGGTCTGTAATATCTATAGTGGTATAGTGGGGGCCTCAGCAAAACTTCCAAAGGCTGCAAGATGGTTTAGATTTTAAATAAAATAAATAAAAAAAAAATGACAAAAGGTTCAAAAAACCTAAACGGCTAAAAATGAAGATGCAAGTTGAAATTCTATTTCTCCGTTTAATTTATTCCCTTAACAACTGTCATTTTTTTAAGAACCAGGGTTCTCATGAACCTGGAATTTTACTTGCGCATATTATTTATTTCATATTATTTATTTCATATTTATTCATTTATTTAATAGATCTGGAAAAGTCATGTAAATAAATACATTAAGTAATTTAATCTTTTTATAATAAATATATTTATAAAATATGTGTGTGTATATGTATGTATGAAATAAATGAACTTTTCCACGACATTCTAATTTATTGAGATGCACCTGTATATGGACCACAAAACCAGGCATAAGTGTCAATTTTTTGAAATTGAGATTTATACATCATCTGAAAGCTGCATAAACAAGTTTTCCATTAATGTATGGTTTATGATAGGACAATATTTGGCCGAGATACAGCTATTTGAAAATCCGGAATCTGATGGTGCAAAAAAAATCTAAATATTGAGAAAATCGCCTTTAAAGGGGTCCTATTACGCTCTTTTACAAAGTCTTGATTTTGTTTTGGGGGTGTACTAGAACAGGCTCTCATACTAGGTTGTTTGAAAAACACATTTTTCACATATTTTACATTATCACAACACCTCTCTCCCCAGTCTAGCATGAAAGGCTTGAATAGTTCCTGTATCAAATGAAGGCCTGCCTTCTGAAATACGAAATGTGCTGTGATCGGTTAGCTGGGCCAGTGTGAGCTTTGAAACTTTGCAGATCTTTTTTATGGTCAAACAGCAACATTACAGACTAACTAAAGTTGAAAAAGTGAAAAAGCATAATAGCACCCCTTTAAAGTTTTCCAAATGAAGTCCTTAGCAATGCATATTACTAATGATAATACATTTTTGATATATTTACGGTAGGAAATTTACAAAATATCTTCATGTAACATGATTTTTTTGCATTAAAGAAACATCGATAATTTTGACGCTCAATTATCAACAATTTTGAATATTGTTGGCTATTGCTACAAATATAACTGCAATTTATGACTGGTTTTGTGGTCCAGGGTCACATTTATATATATATATATATATATATATATATTTATATATATATATATATATATATATATATATATACACACATATAGTCTGTTTTTGTGTTTGAGGGACACATATATATATATATATATATATATATATATATATATATATATATATATAAAATAATGACAATGAGCACCACTGTCATTATAGCAGAAGTATCAGAAATATTTTGGGGGCATTTAAATATTGTCTTTGTCAATGGGGAACCTTGGAGTCAAAAGATAAGTGGAAACGTCATCAAAATGGTCTGACGGTGTGAGAACCCTGATATACACATCAGTCAGAAAAATGTTAGTCATGGGTCCACTCTACTCCTCCCATTTATTTGACTACAACATTTTAGTTTCGTAGCTGTAAATCCCAATTCTCTGAGCTCTGATTGTGTTTTCTGTTGTGTTTGTTTAGTTGGAGAAAGCCAAAGAGCAGGATGATGAAGACCAGTCTCAGTCTCAGACTCGGACCCAGTCATCTGAAAGCCCGCTCTCAGCCGCAGAGGGGCCCAAGAAACCTGGCCGCAGGAAGAAGGTTGCAGTACCACCAGCAGCAGAAGCAGAAGCGTTGGACCTGGAGACGGCCAGTCCCATCAAGAAAGTGGCCCGGGCCCGCAGCAAAGCCAAGGCTCTGGCCAAAGCCCAGGCTCAAGCAGAGGCCGAAGCGCAGGCTGCACTGGCAGCAAAGAGGCAGGCGGAGCGGAGGGCGCAGGCTCAGAGACGAATGGAGGAGAGGAAGAGACAGCAGATGATCTTAGAGGAGATGAAGAAGCCTGCAGAGGACATGTGTCTCCCTGACCACACGGTGAGCGTGTTGTGCTGAGGGATTCACACGCAGAACACGAGATTCCTCACTTAGCAAAGTTTGCTTGGGAAGCCACTTTGATACTTTCTACTTTCTTGGGTTCATTTTTCCAGTTAAAGTACCAGATCACCAAGACAGTGTTATTCACACATGCAATGACTGCCAGAGTTTAGCATAGTGACCTGACCAGAGTAACTTGATTTGTCTTTCCACACTAAAAGAGATGTTGTGTGACACGATTACAACCTGAGGGTCTGAAGGGCACTAAAGACTAAAGTATGCTTCAGCCTACAGCTGAACACTTAAATAAAAAAAAAAGTATACTTCAAAGTATACTACATTTATTGGTGCTCGACACAAGTGCAGTAGATTCATCCTGAAATTCGCCATTTATTTTAAGGTCCAATTCTCACTATTAACTAGTTGATAATTAGCATGCATATTTCTAGCATATTGGCTGTTTATTAGTACTTATAAAGCACATATTAATGCCTTATTCTCCATTACCATATTCTAGACCCCTTAACCCGATCCAATACGTAAACTTAACTACATTGCTAACTATAAACTAGCAGCAAATTAGGAGTTTGAGGGGAAACTCTTAGTTAATAGTGAATATATATGTATGTATATGTATATATATATATATATATATATATATATATATATATATATATATATATATATATATATATATATAAAGATTTTTATCATTTGAAGAATTCTGTAGAAACTCCCACACAATTTTAAAAGTAGAGCATTTCTCACATTTTGGACAGTCTTGATGCTTTCTCTGATCCCGTCAATCCCACAATCCCTTGTGTGAGCATGTAGTTCGGCTCTCATGGGTATGACTTGAAAATGCCCACTTTGCTTCTCCCGCTCCTCTCACTCCACACACACCATAATACATATGTTGATAGTACTTTCATTTGAGGAGCTTAAACTAGTCTACTACTGTTTCTTCTGAGTGTGTCGCTGAATGTTTGGCAGTTATGTGTGTGGTGTCATATCTGGGATGGTTTTTATTCAATTACTCATTGAGTTGTCTCGCTCTCCCTCTGTAGCCCCTCCCACAATTGTCACGGATACCAGGACTGGTGCTTTCGGGTTTGGCCTTCTCCAATTGTTTAAGGTTGGTTGAGTTCCTGCATGGTTACGGAAAGATTCTGGGGCTCCAGGTGCCCAAGGATATTCCCAGCCTGAGCACCCTGCAGGAAGGGCTCCTCGGCATGGAGAAGAGCCAAGGCGAGCTCCTGGATCTGCTCATTAAACTGGTGGAGGCCGCTCTGCATGATCCTGGACTGCCCTCATATTACCAGGTTTGTCTTTTGTGTGATATCAGTGTATTGAGTTGTTTTCTATTTATAGCTGTGTCAAAAAAGTGTACAACCCATCCGTTGCTATCTGAAACATAGCTTTGAACATGGTTAAAATTACATAAAACTAAAATAACTGAACATTAGCCTTAAAAACCAACAAGAAACTGCATCCGCAACATGTTAAGCTTAAGTATTTTAAAGTCATATTATACTTTAATAGAAACATTAATGGAAAACAGGTGAGTGCTCAGTGGGAAATAATGAAGGGTGGGTTTTGCCTTTAATTTAAGGCACGTGATTGGTCAGTGATTTAATGAAGGTTGGTTTGTTTCTCTTTCCTGTCTCAGTCTGTGAAGATCCTGGGGGAGAAGCTGGTGGATCTGGAGCTGAGCCACAGCACTGTGTCCGAGGTGCTGCGGATCTTTCTGGAAGCCCATGGCTTTGAGTTGGAGGTGTGTAACAGTCTGCGTACAAAGAGCTTCCAGACCCTCAAACCCGACGTCAAAGCCTCCATACTGGCCTTCCTGGTGGAGGAACTCAACGCCAGCAACATAATCACCAGGTCAGCAGGAATTCAAATCATATTATCCTCGTCATTTAAAAGAGCTTTGTAGATCTGCATATGTAAACATCATTTTCATTTTCCAACCGTTCTGTTTCTGCAGGGAGATTGATAACACACTAGAGAATATGACAACCTACAGGAAAAACAAGTGGATTATAGAAGGCAAACTACGCAAGTAAGCTTCTTATCATCACAGCTTATGGTGTGAACCAGAGTCTGTTTGATTTCAAAATTTGGTAACACTTTAGTTTAGGGACCAGTTCTCACTGTTAATTAGTTGCTTATTAGCATTCATATGTCTAGCATATTGGCAGTTTATTAGCACATATTAATGCCTAATTCTGCATGACCATATTCTAGATCCCTTAACCCGATCCAATACCTAAACTTAACAACTACCTTACTAACTATTAATAAGCAGCAAATTAGGAGTTTATTGAGGCAAAAGTCATAGTCAATAGTGACATTTGATCCCCAAACTAAAGTGTGACCAAAATTTGGTTAATTTGGTTTCTATTAAAGAGGTGAAATCCATGATGAAAATGTGTAATTCATCACAAACAAAACACCAATAAAAGCCTATCCTGAGTTCACTCAAACTGTCTCACCATCTAGATGTAAAATGCAGAATGCTGCTTGGAATTCACTAGTGGCCGACTGATATGATATTTTTTTGATTGCTGATGCCAATATCTTGGAGAGCAGGATGGCTGACATATAAAGCTTATGTAAATAAATATATATTATAGATAAACATAAATTGAAGTGGGCATTTGTATTCTGCATATGATCGCGTGTGCTCCGCGTGATGGTCCGTGTGAATTGAATGCAGACAGGAGGAGAGTTCAGCTTCATTAAGACGCGCGATCGACAAACTTTAAACTCGTGATTTCAAATTATACTGCACTTTATTCATCTGCCCACTATTATATTCATCTCATTTTCACTTTGTGCTATATGTAAAATGAGTGTTACCTAGACTTTATTTGAAAAAAATATATAAATATGATTCGCAATGCACACAAACTTCCCAGATTACTGGAGTGCCCTGTCGGTTACAGTGTTTACTTCCTTTATATGTATGTATGTATGTATGTATGTATGTTATGTATGTATGTTATGTATGTTATGTATGTTATGTATGTATGTATGTATGTATGTTATGTATGTATGTTATGTATGTTATGTATGTATGTATGTATGTTATGTATGTATGTTATGTATGTATGTATGTATGTAAAATACTCTACTAGGATTATAGAGTCAAGGTGTCAACTAAAGCCGGGCTCGCACTGTGTGATTTTTTTTTTTTTAAGTCCTTTAGGATTGTACTTGTCAGACTGTACGAACATGATGATCATGTCACACTGAGGGATCTCAGTTATCATTAATGTCAGACTGTACGACAGTCAAGACGTGTTAAAAATGGGTGCACGCAAGAAAACTTGTCCGGAGTTTTAGCTCATCAACCCATACACGTTCAGTGACTGCGAGCTGCATTGCACGGGGACTGTAATGTTGGCTATCATTAAAACTATATGAATGGCGGCAATACCGGCGTATTTAAGAAGAGTAGTGTAAGCAGCACTACACACCCACATGAAGTGCAACAGCAGCACAACCGGTGTTTATCATAGCAAAGCCAACATATCAGATGAATTCCGTGAGCGGAGGACGAGAGTGCCGGAGTTTATGCGGTTAGAAGAAATCTCCAGCATTAATTCTGATCATCGCTTGTCTTTAAAAATGTTTCAAATTTCTTTAAAAATAAAAAACAATATTGATCGACCACTATGTATGTATGTATATATATATATATATATATATATATATATATATATATATATATATATATAAGATATACATGCATATCAGTTGCTGAAAACATTTATTTGACATCATTTTTGTTTAAAATGTAGGGATGCAACGATTAACCGCGAGCCGGTTGAAAATCAATTAAAATATGTGACGATTCATGTATGTCTGAGGGGAACGTACTGTCTTTAGAAAAGTTTGTCATATTTTATTCAAATAAGTGACGTGTAGCCAAGTATGGTGTCCCATACTCAGAATTTTTGCTCTGCATTACACACACACAGCAGTAGTGAGCACACACCTGGAGCAGTGGGCAGCCATATACTGAAGCGCCCGGGGAGCAGTTGGGGGTTCAGTGCCTTGCTCAAGGGTCTCACCTCAGTCGTGGTATTGAGGGTAGAAGAGAGCGCTGGTCATATATCAGCCTCGGCAATATATTGGGCGACCACTAGAATTTCTTTCTGAATTGCTATCTAGTTACTCACATTGATGACACAAACATACTGTGGTTCAGACGCTAAAATAAGAGGTGTGCATGTGCGAGGAGGGTGAAATCGAAATCTGGTTTGGACCAGGTGTGAAAGCAGCTCTTCTGTGATTGGCTTCGTCATTCTCAAAAATGTGTTTCTGAGCAGACTGAAGGCTGCGCTGATGCGTAAGACGGGCCGTCCGGAGGAGGAGCTGTGCTTCGAGGAGCGCCGGCGCAGTGCTCGTGTGGGAGTGGCTGAGGAAGAGAGCATCGAGGAGAGCTGCGTGCTGGAGAGAGGGAGCCGCCGCAAAGCCAAAGAGGAACCCAAACACACGGAGGTACAGAACCTCTGCCTGCCAAACCAGAGCTGTGCTTATGGATTACAATCATTACAGTTCATTTAGAGCAGTGCATGTCAGTGGTTTCAAGCTATAGTTAAGCTGTGCTTGTGCTAAAATTGGTTCATGAAAGAGAAACGGCGTGCTGACTGCAGCTACTCTGTGAAATGATGTAATTAATCAAGAACTGAGTGAGTGCTATCAGTTCAGGGAAACGGGCTGGATTTCGACTTCCTCAAGAGGCAACTGAAAAATCCTTTGACCTCAAATGTGAGGAGGCTGTCAAAAATGAGCCACAATCGAGGGTTTCCCAAACAGGGATTCATGAGAGAGCTGCAGGGGGGTTGCAAATGAATGAAAAGCTAATCATTAATTAAATCATAAATGATGTGAATATTTTGTTCACCTGAATGTCATTTGACCATTAACCAACACCAGAGAAATGTGAACGTGAAAATGTGTTGCTAAATCCTGGGGGGTGATGGTTTGGGGGGGGGGGGGGTCATTGTTTTTTTTTTTGCTAATCTCAATTGCAGTTTAAAAAAAATTCAGGTTTGCTGTGCTTGTTGCTACACAATTAAATAAATAATAAACTAAATAAATAATGATTTATACATTAATATGGCTATAAAATTGTAATAAATGTTTTATTTGGTGGTGCTACTACTGTTTTTAATAGTAATATTAATAATTATTATAAATAAGAATAATAATAACAACAACATTTATTATTACTATTTTATAGCCATGTATTTGTAAAATAAAAATAAATACTGTAAAGGAGTATTTGAGAAATGTTTTTTATTTTTTTGACATCACACCTGTGTGGTATATTAGTGCTAGGCAACGATTAATCGCATCCAAAATAAAAGTTTTTGCTTACATAATATATATGTGTGTGTACTGTGTATGTGTGTGTGTGTGTGTGTGTGTGTGTATATATTTATATATATATATATGTGTGTGTGTATATATATGTGTGTGTGTGTGTGTGTATATATTTATATATATATGTGTGTGTGTGTGTGTGTATATATATATGTATATATACACACACACACATG